GTCACGTGGCACATTGAATGCAGCATTGGTTCAAATTAGATGTTGATGATGTCCAAATACAAAGTCTGTAGTTTCTTACGAATTAGGAACTCAAATTACTGATATTGACAAGCTAGAATACGAAATAAGAACATCTTATAGTTTCTATTTGTAGAGACATCATTACATGTACTGAACAAACACAGTGGCCCTGTCCACCTCTTTTCATTTTTGGAAAGACATTCTTATGTACACTTACTTCTGTCTACGTCATGTGAATAACCAACTGAAAGCTCAGAATGTCCCCCTAGTTCAGTGTGTTAGTAAGCTATAGATAGACAAAAATAAAGATCAGGTTGGTTGGTGTTTTTCTGAACATTTTCTTGATATAGTACTTGATATAATGTACTTCTGGACATTGTTGGATGAGATATTCTGAGTGTACACAAAAACTGGATATTTTAATAATTTTGGCAAGTTCCTAGTTGCATATAATTATAGCTGTTGTTTTTGTTAATTTCAAACTTATTGTAATTTGAGCAAGACGGTAAAACAGTTTGACTTTTTTTACTCTAGTTTGGTATTCCTAACACTTTTGCAATGGTCAGCTACACACACAAGATCCTAGATGCAGGAAAAGTAAAAGGTTCAGTCAAGTGAGTAGTTCCTTAAATTCTACTAAATGTTGACAGATTGTTGTTACTTCTGACATTGGTATTCATTCAACTAAAGTTTATTGCTAGAATTGTGTTATAAGAAGTAGTATTGTAATATGTAATGTTAAGTTCTTATGATAAAAGCTGTACATATTAATTTTTGTGATAACAATTATGGAGAAATCAACAACAGGCTAATTCAAAAAAGTATAAATAATGAAATAGAGAAGAGAAAGATGAAACCATAAGCTGATGTTATCTTGTATGATAAAATATCATCAATTCACACTTTTCAGACTAAATGTTTTTATAATGGAAGTTGAAATGAATAATTAATGTATGTTAAAGGCAATTAAGGTGAAACCGGCCTGGAGTGTAGAGACAGGTATTGTTTTGGTATATTAACTGTGACCCTCATTTTGTTTTGGGAAGAAATCAAAATATCCAATCTTGAAAATTTTATGTAATCCATAGAAGTTTCAAGGCACGTACAATGGAATTTGATAAAATGAAATATTTCAATTCTAGTTTGTGAAAATCTGCTGAATATTAGACTTGATCTTATGTTTCTTGTCTCAGACTTGGAACTTTTGGTGCGATAGTGGAATATGGCTGTGAGAAAAAAATATCACAACATAGCATTATCGGGGCATCTGTGATGATAGGAGTACCATCAGGTATAACCCTAAAAGTCAAGTAAGTAACTCTCGGGCATCTGTGATGATAGGAGTACCATCAGGGATAACCCTTAAGCTCAAGTAAGTAACCCTCGGGGCAACTGTGATGATAGGAGTACCATCAGGGATAACCCTAAAAGTCAAGTAAGTAACCCTCGGGGCAACTGTGATGATAGGAGTACCAATAGGGATAACCCTAAAAGTCAAGTAAGTAACTCTCGTGCGTCTGTGATAATAGGAATACCTATCACGGATAACCCTAAAAGTCAAGTAAGTAACCGTCGGGGCAACTGTGATGATAGGAGTACCAATAGGGATAACCCTTAAGCTCAAGTAAGTAACCCTCGGGGCATCTGTGATGATAGGAGTACCATCAGGGATAACCCTAAAAGTCAAGTAAGTAACCCATGTTTTAGTATTAAAGATGTGTGAATTGCAATCTGTATAAAAATATTTTTATTTTGCAAACAGACCCTGTTAACCCTTCCATTACAGGCTGGGTCGATTCTACCTAGCCCGTAACCAAGAAAGCATCTATGAAAGTAATTAAGCTATGATTTTTTTTTTATAATGTATGGTATACCCTTACAAAATTTTGCCAGTTATTGGTAAAAATTACAAGGCTTTTATGCACAAAATATCAGGTTGTTGAATTAAGTAATAGGTTTTTTGATTAAAAAGTTTCTTGTCACATTTTTTCTTTCTGAATGTTGACTATCCAATGTGCAAAGTAATTTTGATTTTAAGATTAAAAATGCTTTTATGCATTAGAACATTTCCAAATTTCACATGCAAAATCGTTAAAATCTACATATAATTATCAATTTTTTTTTAGAAAAAAACTATTTTATGTGTTATTTTCACTACTGTATCCCTGTATGGGTTGGTTCTGTTTGCCCAACTTTGTAACCTCAATAAAAAATTAAGAAATAAATATAAATTATGTTTTTTTTTTGTTCTAGAATGACTGCATATTATAACACAAAAACACAAATGTTTAGTCTAAGTAGCTTAAATTTCATAATATGTATTTATTATTTTTATTATATTGACCTTTCAGCCTGCCTGGCTAACGTTATTGAAGTTGCAATTACAAGGTGCATGTGCACTGATGTTACTGTATCTAAGAATATAAAGGTGGCCTTTACAAAGTGACCTGTCTCGGCTGTGTTTTAGTGGACTAGTAATTTGTAAAATACAATCACGTTTCAGTTTTAATATATTATGTATATACATTATTACTATTTAAAATATGTTCTTAAATTTCAGTTATATTTCTTAAAACATAGAATAATAAATAAAGAATTATAGAAAATAATTATCTCTTCTAGTTACAAACTTTGAACTTGTTTGCTACTTGCCATAGGTTGCTAAGCCTTATCAAAATTCACACATGGAGGATGTGAAATGAAATAATTTTTTTTAGTTTTATAGATACATTGTGAAATAACCAAAAAATCATAAATTACTGTATCAATACCATTGAATTCCACTATAATTTATCAAACTTAGTAACTAAGCTTTATTTTGGTTCAAAAAATATGAAATTTGGAGCTCACTAAAGTTTCACCTTACCTTTTCGAATCCAAGCTTTAAAAGAACAAGTACGGCACTGAATACTTCAATTATCCTGAGAAAGCCAGAGTGAGCATTCTGACAGTCAAGCAGTGTTTTAACTAGTAGTTAGAGAGTGAGCATTCTGACAGTCTTGTTTGATGTTCTGACAAAAAACCAGGGGATACCCTTCTTTGGAGATCAAATCTATGACTATTTCCCAGTCTATCGATGCACCATTAACCATCAGTGATACTGCAACGTTGAGTGGAACACTTACAACTCAAAATGGAACAGGAAATGGCACAGTGGCTTGCTCAGTCAGACATGTTGTATCTGCCAAAACGTGGACTGAGGTATTGTGATTGCTGTTGTGCATTTTAATTAACTTGTAAGTGCCTATGATGCTAATGTTTGTTGTCCATGAGCTACTTTAATCCAGAGGAATGTTATTGATATCTCATCTTTTTTTTTTTCCTTCTCATGGTAGATATATTTAACCAAATTGTACAAAACTTATTAAATAGTATACATATTTTTGGCTTAAAAACGTTTATATAGTTGAATTTAATTTTACTCCCATTTTTGATGTTGTGAACATTCCAAAATTTTGTTGTCTGACACTGTTTTGAAGTATACATTAAAAATAGTTTCTTTCAGCAGGATTAATGTTTATTAGAAAGATCCATTAAATATGTGCAGTCGGTCGAGACAGCGTTGATTACACAAGATGTCTTCAATGTTTTGTTTAGTAGGAATTCAATACTACCACGTAATGTTGTTTTACATATTAGATTACTCAGACAAACTTTAATACAATAATTATAGTATTACATTATTTTGTTCTTCATTTACATAAAAAAACATGTTTTCCACACACGTGCTGGATGATATTTTTACCAGTTTTAATTATTGTTAGATAATATAACTTCATGACTTTAGTAGCTACATATTAACACTTTGCCAGTAATTCAAAGCTTCAGCTAACGTTTATATATTTGTCTTTGAGCTACCAGACATTTTCAGTTGTATATGTTGTTGAACTGATTTTTCTTAAATGCTTTGAGGAAGACTGAAACTTTATAATAGACAAGTAGAAAACAAGTAATCAGGAAAGGTTTATGAGAATCTGAGGAAAATGCTCAAACACTAGATTAGATGAACTAAATATGGTTGGTTAACTAAATGAATATGATGAACAATAAGGAAGTATATTAGGTCTTGACACAAACTTGGTTCTTAATTAACCATTCTTATTGCCCTTAGCTAGTATTATTATAAGAACTGGTCAAAAGATGAAATAAAAACAAGAAGAAATTTTATGGTTTGTATGACAGGGGAACTCTTGATAAGTTTATTTATTTTGTCAGCTTTATATTTGAATCATATGTAATCCGATCTTTCAGTGTGAAGTTGGTGCAGGGAATGGTTTACTGTTCAGTGGCAAGGTGTTTAGAACTCTCACCAAAACCTGGTAGGTGTTATTTTGTTTCTAAGATCTTGTGTTGATGGTAAGGTATAGTTAATGAAGAAGTGTTGTTTATATTTACTCTATTCTTATATAAAGCTAATACAACATACTTATCATTGTCCTATATGAACCCTTTGATAATGTTTCTGTAATTTGATGTTTTCTTGCCTTGATATATGTTGATGTAGTTTTTTTAAACACACTAATTCTATATGCTGTTAAAGAACTGTCTTTATAGCATGTGATCATTCTTTTGTTAAAAGAGGACAAGTTATACCTAATATTTCTATCTACTGACATCTTCCGTGTGGAATTATATTTTATCAAACTTCAACTACAATCTAAATAGAAAAGTAATGAAAAAAGCTAGTGATGCAATTAAAAATATTAGATGTTTTCAGTAATGTAAAGTACTGTGAAACAATGTTGTCTAATCTTCTGTTGTTATGATATATGTTTTATTCTAAGGTGACTTTAAAACATAATCAGACTATCTTAATTTATAAAACAAATATCTCAAACATATATTAGAATTTTGTAAGATATGTTGAAGAGTCTTGTTGTACATTTTCTTAATAATTATAAGAATATAAACATTTTTTAACCTACTGTTGTTTCTAACTAAAGTTGATCTTTAATTGAAGTCAAACACATCTACCAACTAGATTCATGCAATGGGCCAAACATACATGATTAGTATCATACAGTTACAGTATTAATTCATGATCAACAGAATATAATGTAGGTAATTTTTGCTTTTCCAGACTGTTTTTTTAACTTTTGGTTTATCAAATTATTTATTTGCCTGTCATTTTAATCCAAGAACAACCAGCTAACCATTGTTAAATTCAGTCAATCAAACACCAATGCATTTATCCACTAATTTCATGATTCCTAGATTGTAATTGATGTATCTGATGATGCTGATGAAACCATATTTATACTATTTATTGAATATAATGAAGTTTTCCAGTGTTAGAATCTTTGTTATTCCATGGAACACCCAATTTTGATGATTTTAATTTGGTTGTCAGAGAATTGAATCTTTTCTCATGGATTTTAATTAAATGTTAAATAATATATTTTTAATTATGCCTTCTTACAGTTTTGGAACAATTCAAGGCATCTTCCATGCTACCCCATTTGGATTCAAACCTGGAATTCAAGCACGTATGTCATACTTATCATCTATATATGTTATATTTAATAATTTCTCTCGGCAGTTATGTTCGAGTGGTGATAATCTACGAAAGGTGCTTGTCACTAGAAGGTCATGTGATTTAGATGTTACTTCATAGTTGTATTGATCTGGTCATGTCATGTGAATGGTTTATATTTTCAGAACAAAGACTGAGGAAGTTCTACTTTATAATTGAACTTCATGTGTGTTGTATACTCATCAAAATAACAGTTTTTGTTTTATTGGTGATTTATGTTCAGGAGATAGAAGTAATTGTTTTACATATATGTATATAAAATGATCACATGTATACATGCAAACATACCCCTGTACATTAACTTTATTGACAGTTGTGGCAAAGCAGCTAGACAAACACACTGTAGGCTACCTGACTTGGAAAGCTGGACATCAGTCGTGTATGAACACCATGATCGTGTGGGACTCTAACACTGGACATTTTGTTGGTTCAATACAGGTGAGTGTACAATGTTTTAACTAATAGTTAGAGAGTGAGCATTCTGACAGTCAAACAGTGTTTTAACTAACAGTTAGATTTGACTGTCAGAATGAATGTTTTAACTAATAGTTAGAGTGTGAGCTTTGACTGTCAGAATGCTCACTCTCTTACTGTTAGTTAAAACACTGTTTGACTGTCAGAATGCTCACTCTCTAACTATAAGTTAAAACACTGTTTGACTTTCAGAATGCTCACTCTCTAACTATTAGTTAAAAACACTGTTTAACTGTCAGAATGCTCACTCTCTAACTATTAGTTAAAACACTGTTTAACTGTCAGAATGCTCACTCTCTAACTATTAGTTAAAACACTGTTTCACTGTCAGAATGCTCACTCTTTAGCTATTAGTTAAAATACTGTCTGAGCTCTTTTTGAAAATCTTTTTTTTCCCTTTCATAAATGACAAATCACTTAAATTTCTTATTATGATCAGATCAGTTGATTTTACAATCAG